GTGAGCCTTCCAAACAACAGCAGTGTTTGAAAACAGCTACTATGAATCTGAAGTTTCCCCTTATTTTTCAGAACATCAATAACTCACGGACCGCGAGATCGTGACCTGAGCTGAAGTCGGCCGCCCAACCGACTGAGCCACCCAGGCGCCCCTTTATCTTTTTTTTAAAGTTTATTTTTGAGAGACAGAAACAGAGTGTGAGTGGGGGAGGGGCAGAGAGAGAGAGAGAGACAGACAGATAGACGGACAGACAGACAGAATCAGAAGCAGGCTCTAGGCTCTGAGCCGTTGGCAGAGTTCTACACAGGGCTCGAACTCATGAACTGCAAGATCATGACCTGAGCCGAAGAGTGACGCTTAACCAACTGAGCCACCCAGACGCCCCTAGGATACATTTTGTTGCTGCAGAAGAAATAAAGAATGTAGATAGGCATGAAGAAAAAACATAGATTTACACTGCCAAACTGTTCCTCTGCTTTTGCGTGTCTGGAGGGAGGTATGTTTTGTTTCTGTGTATGTTTCTTTTTCCTTCTCAACACGAAGCCGTCATACTTTCCTAATTCTTTTTAACTAGAGCGGAGCATCAGAATTGTGTGTAAGGTTTAGAAAATCTCCCTCTGTATCTATATCTATGCTTGGGCCTTACTGCATTCTTTAGGTATAGGAGGCCCAAACATACATATTTCTTAACATCTTTATTGGTTATTCTGAGAAGCGTTTCCAGTTAAGAACCACTGTTAGAATATCACTATCAAACTTTTCTTCACACACACACACACACACACACACACACACACACACACACACACACACACGCACGAGCCAACTTAACTTTTTTTCACTCGTGTCAGTGATTATGATAATTTTAATGGTTTTCTAACAGGGCCAGGACTAGGGTAAGGAGACTGAGGTTTTCCCCCAAGGAGCAAAACTTAATGAGATGCCGGAAAAAACCCGCAACAACCCCAAACACAGCAGTCAAGATAAATCCTATGGTGATGCGATATTTAAAAAATTCAGGCAGGGGGCGCCTGGGTGGCGCAGTCGGTTAAGCGTCCAATTTCGGCCAGGTCACCATCTCGCGGTCCGTGAGTTCGAGCCCCACGTCAGGCTCTGGGCTGATGGCTCAGAGCCTGGAGCCTGTTTCCGATTCTGTGTCTCCCTCTCTCTCTGCCCCTCCCCCGTTCATGCTCTGTCTCTCTCTGTCCCAAAAAAAATAAATAAACGTTGAAAAAAAATTAAAAAAAAAAAATTCAGGCAGAAGTCCGTGATGAACACAGTTCTGCAGTTTGGAATCGATGGGATCCAGCTCTGGATTAGCACGGTGAAGTCTCCCCTCCCGCACCCTAGTCCAGGCCCTGGCTTTGTACCCCGGTTCTCAGCCCTGGCACAGTGACGTATCGGGCCGGATCGTTCTTCGTTGTGTGAGCTGTGCGTCGCGGGATGGTCAGCAGCGCCCTTGGCCTCTACCATCCAGGTGTCTGTAGCACCCCCTCCCCCAGCTGTGACAACCAAGAGTATCTCCGGACACTGCCCCGTGGCGGGGGGAGGGGCGGAAGTGCCCATGTTGCGAACCCCGGTGTTCTGTGGGGTTCAGTTTCAACAAGTTGAAAAGCGCTGCCTGTGTCGTGCTGGAGGATGTCTGTGGAGCGGTAAACGTTGTGGTTATTCAGCCGCTTAATCATCCTGTGCCTCCGTGGACTCATCTGGAAGTAGTGGGTGTGAGCCTGTCTCTGTGGGGGTGGCCCTTTGAGGTTAATGAGCTCTCAGCTTTGAGCTTTATTTGGGGAGCGAAGCAGGGCTGTCGAAACAGGACTCCTTCCTCTTTGATGTGAGTGTATTTTTACCAGTGGCGGCCCATTCCTAGTATCCGTGAGTATTACGCATGCTCGTAAGTGGTGACGTTTTCATTGCATTTCAGAAAGAAAAGGGATGCTTGTGGTGACTCAGCATTGAGTTTTTGCATTAATCTCTCCTCCGGTACAGAGACTGGAGTTCTCGCTGGGGCGCGTCCCTGCCATGGATCGATAACGAGAAATGGAGGTCTATGGTTCATTTTCACCTCTGCGTCTTGTGTGTTGGCTGGGATATGTCAAATGACCTCGAAGCATTATGTGGTGCGAGGTTCCCACCCGAGGGCCGGGGCCAGGGGCCCTTGGACGTGGGGGTCTTGACTCCTCCTCTAGCTTCTGACCTCATGTGGAGCTGTGCTGTGCCCCTTCCACGAGAGGACCTGTGGTTTCTCCCCAGGGCGAAAAGAGCTGTAACCAGCCTCTGTGGATACCACATCTGTTTTTATTTTCCCCTGGTATTTTTTAAGTAAGGAGAAATGTGTGTGGGTTAAAGGGCCTGTGGGGAGGAGGCTGGAGATAAACACTGTACGACGTGAAACTCTTCCATATGGGCAACGTGAGGGTGTTTGAAGACCGGGCCCTAATACGAATGGGGAAGCTGGCGGAGCCCCTGGGAATTCCCAGCACCTTAACGATCTACGTGGATTGCCATTTTTGGTGTGTGGATGAGCCTTTTCTTTGAGAATTAAAAGCCAGTTTCAGAATCGGCAATTCTAATTCCTCCTCCCTGAGTCATCTTGGTTGGAAAGGGGGGTAACTGTTGATTGGGGAGAGAGACAAACGAACGTGGGGACATTACACCAATCCCTGTGGTGTTGGTTGGGGCCAGTCAGCCTCGCCTTCTGACTTGTTGTCAGATGGTGCCCTGGTCTGGAAGTGAGGTCTTTGCAGAGACCTGAGCGGCCGTGTTTCTCTCTCTGCCTCGCTCTAGACTGGTTTCCCCTGGGATGCAAAACCCCAAAGCTCTGTGCCAGCCCACATTTGGAATACTGCTGGAAGCGTGTGACTTCTGCAGATGTGACATCAGATTGCTTGTAAAATCCAGAGGTTTGCGAAGGATGCCCTTGGCTCGTCCATTCCTTCAAACCCGCTGTCCGCAAACCTTGCCGGCCAAAGCGATGGCTCGCTCAGAGGTCTTGCTGTTGCCCCTGATGTTAGATAATAATTTGGTCCAGGTGCTGAGGAATGTGGGCAAAATGAAGACGCGTGTCTGTGGCTAGAACATAAATCACAGAGCTCAGAGAGAACGTTCTGGATTTGGCCTTTCCAGTGGAGAGGACCTTTCTGTAAATCTTCAGTCCTTGTTATAATTTTAGAGGTAAATTCTTTATAATTAAAAGCACTTGGCAAATAACGATTCATTTAAACTGGAGTTCTGATTCATTACCCTAATTATCGTAACCATGCAGTGCCCTTTGGCCTGGAAGTGAAACTCGTGTCCTCTTGGCACCAAAGGTTAACAGAGCAGGAAGCCGGAGCACTGTGTGTGCCTGTATGACCAGAATAATTTAGTAATTGTCTAATTACCTGAGGAGTCTAATGCCACCGCTAAAAATAGTATTAAAAAATTAAATGAAAGTCGTTTCTTCTCATCTGTTCTCTATTTTGGGCAACCACGTGTTCACGGGTAGAAGACGGGATTCATTCGAAAGGATCGGGTCCCTTCTCTTCTGCTGGATGAAATACGTTTCTAATGGACCGTGGGCTCCAGTCGCTCCCGAAACTTCTCTGACTTCCCGGGCTCAGCCGTGGAGCAAGACTATGTTGCAGGGGTTCTTTTCGTCCCAAACTGTGATGTAAAACCCAGAACTGCTGTCGGCCAATTTGATATTTATTTCTTCCTGGAAATAGAAAAAAAAAAAAAATCCTGTCCGGGCAAGATGTGCCACTGTCACCTTAGCAACACAAAGTTGTTCATTTGCTCCTCAAATACCGGTGCGTGCCAGGCGCTGCCGTGGGCCCTAGGGTTGCGGTGACAGACAACACACACATGGACGAGTTCCGTTCTCACGGCTTAACGGGAGAGTCGTCAGGTCAACAAGTCGGTTTTAGCCGGAACACGACATCCCGCATTGCAGCGTGGAAGCATGACTTCTGGCAGGAAGATAAGCTGGGGCTCTTGTGGAGGACCTCTCTGAGGATGCGACATTTTAATCGCGACCTTCAGTGATGAGATGGAGTGAGCCAGCCCTGCTGAGATCTGGGAAATGATGTGCCCGGCAGAGGGCAAGGCAGGTGCAAAGGCCCTGAGGCAGGAAGGAGCGTGGCACTGTTCAGAGAACAGGAAGGCCAGTGTGGCTGGAGCAGAGAGGAGGACGAGGAACGTGGCAAGAAGGGAGGTTACAGAGGTGGGCAGGGGCTGACCAGGTAGGCTCCACGGACCTTGGGAGGGCATCTGAGGTCTGTAGAATACGGAGCACAGGACAGCCCCTGCAATAGAGAATCATCCTCCCCATGTGTCGGTAGCGCCCAGCTTGAGAAGACCTGACCTCACCGGCCTCGCCTGCAGCGCAGTGGGGGCTTCGCTCTGTCAGAGGCCCTGACGCCACCGAAAGGAAGACGGATTCACTTGTTCACGGGTAGAATGACCCTCATCCCCTGAATTGTAATTTTTTCCTCCGTTTTGCTGTAAATGATTGGGCTCCTGAAAATTACTTGCCGTTGAGCGCAGTGTCACTGCAGATGTCGTCTGAGCGCTGTGCATCGAAGCCACGCGAAGAAAAGCAGTGTCTCCACATGGTTGCCCTTCCACACATTCTAGACCCTTCTGTGTCTCCAGTCATCCTCCTTGTTCTTTTGTCTTTCCTGTAGCAATCCCAGGACCCGCCTGCTCAGAAGGGCCCCACGCTCACCACCAAGGTGCGGCGGACCATGAGTAGCCGTGTGCACGAGGCCGTGAAGGCCATCGCCCTCTGTCACAACGTGACTCCCGTGTATGAGTCCAACGGCGCGACCGACCAGGCCGAGGCTGAGAAGCGCTATGAAGACTCCTGCCGCGTGTACCAGGCCTCCAGCCCGGACGAGGTAAGCCGCCGGCAGGCGTGGCGAGGCGCCGAGAGACGCCGTGCGCCTCTGTTCCACACGCCGGGCGTGGGGTTCCCCGGGGAGCCACCCATGAGCAGACACGAGCCAGGGTGACGCAGCCCTGCCAGGGAAACACACTTTCACAAGCGTGCAGAACTTCCTTCCCCCTAGAGGAAACACTCTTCGGACTTAAGATATGTCCCAAACGTGGGGCGCCCGGGGGGCTCGGTCGGTTGAGCGTCCGACTTCGGCTCAGGTCATGATCTCACGGTCCGTGAGTTCGAGCCCCGCGTTGGGC